AGGTGCCGTCGAGTCGTTTCCAACTCATAGCGACCCCGTGCACAGCAGAACGAAACACTGCCCGATCCCACGCAAGCTCCATGATTCTTGATGTTAGGTGCCGTCGAGTCGTTTCCAACTCATAGCGACCCCGTGCACAGCAGAACGAAACACTGCCCGATCCCACGCAAGCTCCATGATCCCTGCTATACTTGAGCCCATCATCACAGCCACCATGTCAATCCATCTCGTTGAAGGGCCTCCCCCTCTTTCGTCGACCCTCCACCCTACCAAGCATGACATCCTTCTCCAGGGAATGGTCCCTTCTGATAACATGACCAAAGTAGGTGAGATGAAGTCTGGCCATTCTCACTTCCGAGGAGCATTTTGGGTGCACTTCCTCCAGGATAGATCTGTTAGTTCTTTTAACAGTCCATGGTACTTTCAGCATTCTTCGCCAGCACCACAACTCAAAAGTATCAACTCTTCTTTGGTCTTCCTTACTCATTGTCCAGGTCTCAACATGCATACGAGGTGATTGGAAATATCATGGCTTGTGTCAGGCGCACCTTAGTCCCCAAGGAGACATCCTTGCTCCTCAGCACTGGAAACAGTTCCTTCATGGTTGACTTTCCTAATGCAAAACATCTTTTAATGTCCTGACTGCTGCTTCCATTGGCCTCGATTGTAGAACCAAGCAATGTGAATACTTTGACAGCCTCAGTCTTCTCTCCATTTATTGTGATGCTGTTCATTGGTCCAGTTGTGAAGAATTTTGTTTTCTTTATATTAAGACATAATCCATACTGCAAACTGTATTCTTCAGCCATCATCAGTAAGTGCCTCAAGTCATCTTCATTTTCAGCAAGCAAAGTTGTATCATCTGTGTATCTCAGGTTGTTCATGATTCTTTCTCCAATCCTGATGCCACGTTTTTCTTCATATAGTCCAGCTTCTTGTATTATTTGCTCAGCATATGGATTGAATAAGTGTGGGGAAAGGATACAACCCTGACACACTCCCTTCTTGATTTTAAACCATGTCGTGTCCCCTTGTTTTGTTTGAACGACAGCCTCCTGGTTCTTCATGAGTACAATCAAGTGTTCGGGAATTCCCATTCTTCTCCATGTTATACATAATTTGTCTTGATCCACACAATCAAGTGCCTTTGCATAGTCAATAAAACACAAGTAAACATCTTTCTGGTATTCTTTGCCTTGAGCCAAGATCATCTAACAACAGCCATGGTATCCCTTGTTCCACATCCTCTTCTGAATCCAGCTTGCAACTCAGGAAGTTCTCTCAATATATTGCTGCAAACATTTTTGAATTAACTTCAGTAAGATCTTACTTGTCTCACCTACTTTGGTAATATTGTTACAAGGGGCCATTCCATGGAGAAGGATGTTATGCTTTGTAAAGTGGAGGGCCAACGAAAATGGGGAAGGCCCTCAACAAGATGGAGTGACACAGTGGCTGCAATGATCGGCTCAGGTATAGCAGGGCTCATGAGCTGGCACAGGACTGAGCAGTGTTTTGTTCCGTTGTACATGAGGTCACTATGAGTCAGAGACGACTTGATGGCACCTAACAGTAAACAACAACATTTCACTCAACATAATATTTTCAAGGTTCATTCATGTAATGGCGTGCATAAGGACTTTATTTCTCCTTAGGGTGGAGTAATATTCCTATTGTATATATATGCTACATTTGGTTTATCTGTTCTTCTGTTGATGGACACTTGGGTTATCACTACCTTTTGGCTGTTGTTAAAAGTGCTATGAAGAACATTGTTTTAAGGATTTCTGTTTGTGTTCCAGCTTTCATTTCTTTTAGGTATATATCTAAGTGTGGAATTGCTAGGCAATATGGTAGTTCTGTGTTCAACTTTTTGAGTAAATATCAAACTGTTTTCCACCATAGCTATACTATTTTACATTCTGTGGGGATTAGGGGGTATTATGTGTTTTTCTAATTTTGATTATTTTTAGATAGGTAATACATGCAGAGATGACAGAACCCTATGTGGTGAAAAATAAGTCTCTTTCTCCTGATCCGCCAGCCATTCCATTTCCCTTTTGAAAGATAACTATTCTTACCTATTGCTTGGGTGTTTGGGAAATACTCTATGAATATTCAAGCCTATCTATGTAGATATGATCTTTATACTACTTACCCAGTGCCATCAAGTCAATTCCGAATTGTATGGACTCCATTGGGTTTCCAAGACTGTAAATCGTTACGAAAGTGGATTGCCTCATCTTGTTCCTACTAGCAGCTGGTGAGTTTGAACCACTGACCATCTGACTAGCAGCCAAATATCTTACCCACTGCACCATCAGAGCTCCTTTTTTATACTACAATAGGTTCTAAAGTGGGGGAATATTTTGTATTGGAAAAAAAAAAATGAGGTGGAGATCCTGGGTGGGGCATGTCCTTGTGTAAACTGTGTGACCCTGGTCAAGTCCTATTACCATGGGCTGCTTCTGTGACAATGGATACATTCCTGCATGCCCTATGATACATTCCTGCATGCCCTATGGATGCATTCCTACATACACATTAGGAAGTGTATGAGAGAGCACTGAAGGAAAGAAAGTGTCCTCAGCCAATGCTGAGGTTGTGACTCTCAGGTGTGTGACATAAGGCCTGAGGAGAGGGCTAACAAGTAGTTCTGTCTTCTATATGCACATTTTTCAAGGGAATCCTCATATATTTTTTTTATATGAAATTGTCTACATATTGTAGAAAATTTGCATAATAGCTAAAGGAATGAAGGAGAAAATCAAATTACTTACTGTCTTACCCTTCAGAGATGGGGGGAAAAAAAACACTGCTGTTGAGGCAGATCTGACTCATAGCTACCCCTCCTTGGGTTTCCAAAGCGATATCACTACAGAAATAGGTTGCCCAATCTTCCTTCAGAGGAGGGCTGGTGGGTTTGAACCACCAGCCTTCTGGTTAGCAGTCAAATGCCTTAGGCACTACGCCACCAGAGCTCCTCCTAGAGATGAACACTGAGATTTAATATACATTTTCAGTCTTTTTAAATGTATACACAAATATATGTGTGTGTGCACATATACTTCTTAGAAAACAGAAGCTACACCATACATAAAAGTTGACTACCCTCTTTTTGCTTATATTACATTGGAAGCTTCTCCCCACATCATTAAACAGTCTTTCTAAATAGTTTTTATTTTTTCGTTGCATCTATGTTGAGCTGATTTTATTTTTACTGCCCTGTTTTTCAAGGTATTGACTTGTTTCTGTTACCCTACCTAGTGTTTTCTCATAAGGAGTTCTGGTGGTGCTATGGTTAAAGCATTGGGCTGCTAACCAAAAGGTTGGTGGTTCATACCTACCAACCACTTTGCAGGAGAAAGATGAAGCAGTCCGCTTCCGTAAAGATTTACAGGCATGGAACCCTATGACGCAGTTCTACTCTGTACTAAATGGTCACTATGAGTTGCAGTCAACTTGATGGCAGCAGTTTTGATTTGGGTTTTTGTTTGCTCGTGTCACTGAACCCTCTGTGGCTCTCAGTGTCCCTATATATGATCAATGGGGTTTTCCCATATTGATCTGGCCTTCCCCAGTGCCCACTGGATGGCTGTGTGGACTTTTTAAGGCTTGCATACATTTGATTGGTCAGTGCCTGTGCCCAGCCGATATTAAGTGATGATGTATAAATATCATCACTGGCTGAAATTTTTTTAGCTACCACTTATAATTACCCCCCTTCCTCACTTTTTTTTTTCTGTTTCCTTTCGATGGTAAGTGGTTAAAGCTCAGAGTACTTGGGCAGTAATGGAGGCCCTCCTGCGTATTAGGTGACCGAGGTAGACCCAAGTCATTGCCATCGAGTCAATTCTAACCCATAGGAACCTTGTAGCACAGAATAGAACAGCCTCATAGGGTTTCCAAAGTTGTAATCTTTAGGGAAGGAGACTGCCACATCTGTCCCTCGTGGAGCAGCTGGTGGATTTGAACTGCTGGCCTTCTAGTTAGCAGCCAAACCATTAACCACTGTATCACTAGGGCTCCTTGCAAGGTAGATCAAAAACTAAAAACCAAACCCACTGCCATCAAGTCAGTTAGACCTTGGGCTTCAGCTGTGCCTCTTGCTCCCAGCCCACTGAAGCTAGAGGCATCTCTTCACTCAGGCAGCTACTGGCTGCTGAGGCTGAGAAGCCCAAGGTCGACAAATAAAATGGCACAGTCCTGATGTTACCAAACCACACGGTGGCCCATTAATTCAAGTTCATTGAAAGTCCCAACATCGGCAGAGCATGGCAGGTTGCTGAACAACGACATGGCTACATGCAGGGTTTAAGCATGCCATAAGCTAGAGACCGTTTCCAAAGCTGTTTCTTATATACAGGAAGCAGACCACATAACCAAAGGAAGCTACTCAGCTGCTCATAGTAGATTCCACCATGGAGTTGATTACCAGTTTAATCATGGGGAATGTATATCCAGCTACCCAGCCACTCAACCAGGTATAGCCAAATTGACACACAAACATCACTACCACAGACGATAGAGGCAAGAGTTTGGATTAGGATTGAAGTTTAGCAGCTTCAGGCTGAAGTTTTGTTTAGTTTTTAAGAGAGGCTCTGCCTAGCAGTTTATGAGGAACCAAGCACCTGTGAGCCCAAGGATTTTATTGACAAGGACACTTCTGTTAATTAACAGTCCTGATTTCCAACCTTTATGAAGACTGGGAGGATTAGGCTATACTTTGCTTGTGGCTCCAGATTCTTTTTCTGAATCTGCTGCAGTCAAGTTTCTTCTCCAAACCTCTCCCTTTGTTCCTGTGATTTCCTTAGAGGCCTGTATAGGAAGATCAGAAAAGAAATCACCCATAAATAGAGAGGGAGTTTCTAGATACAAAAACTAATAAAATTTAAATAAATTTGTTGTGAATTTTTAAATGTTGTTGGATTCCATTTTCAGGATTAGAATGGTGTGTACTTAGACTGCATTGTGGTACTCCTCTCGGCATATTTTGATAGGTTAGCAATTTAAGTTTCTCGTTCTTTCCCAGGCTACAGGAGCTGTTCCAGAAAAACCCTGACAGTTACAATGGTGCTGTCCGTGAGAACTACATCTGGTCACAAGACTACATGGACCTGGAAGTCAAGGTGCCAGTGCCTAAGCACATTGTGAAAGGGAAGCAGGTAAAACGCCCCCAAAAGATGATGAGAGTTACTCTTGACTAGGTGATGCTCTGGCTATACTCTCACCTGTGGCTGGTGGTAGAGGTTGCTGCCTGATGGGGTCTTAATTAGCTTGCTAGAGAACATTAACTTTATTTAATGAGACATCTTACACATTTTAGGACATGGGCCATCCATCTGAACCTGGTACTTACTATATGATACTATGCCAGGGAAGGAGCATATGAAACAACTTGTCATGGGTTTTAGAATCTGGCTTTTAAGCCTTGAATGACTTTTTTCTTTTTTAATTTCTCTACTGAATTCTTTCCTCTTGCTCCAAGAATATTCTTCCTGTGGTTCCTTCACTTTTTTCCCTTCTTACCTATTAGGTTTTTTCTAGTATATATCCAGACATCTTTCCATGTAGAAGGTAGCAGGCTTCTATCTCACTCTGAGGTAGAGCTTCCCTTGGAGGCTGTGTTCCCTTTCATGGCCCTTTACAGGTATACTGACCAAAATCACCACATGCTTAGGACTCTGTTTTAGATTACCCAACCTTCAGGCTTTTAAAGGAACACTCCAATACTACCTTTGTAAATTTTAGATTTTTCCTGAAGAATAGGTCTGCCTTTAGCCTTCTCTACAAAAACATCCAATCAACTAAACTTAAGGTAATAGCTGAAGTATGTTCATGTAGTACATACATACAACTTCAGTTTCCTAGGCCTTACCAGCCTAGGGTCCAATAAACACGCATTAAGAAGAGAAGTACAGAGGACTAGCACCTTCCCCAACAGATTTGTTTTAAAGTCCACAGGTATGTAGAGTGAAAAGTATGTTGTCAGCGTTAAATTTGAAAATCCCTTAAGTAGCCTATGCAATACAGTTCACTTAATTTTGTATATACAACCCTGGTGGTGTGGTGCCTAAGGCATTTGATTGCTACCAGAAGGCTGGCAGTTCAAACCCACCAGCCACTCCTTGGAAGGAAGGTTGAGCAGTCTATTTCCTTAGAGATACTGCCTCGGAAACCCAAAAAGGGGTTGCTAGGAATCAAATCAGATCGACTTGATGGCAATGAGTTTGGTTTGGTTTATGGTAATACAGACATACCTCATTTTATTGTGGTTCACAAATACTGCGCTTTTTACAAATTGAAGATTTGTGATAACTCTGCCTCAAGCAAGTCTGTCTGTGCTATTTTTCCAGCAGCATGTGCTCACTTCATGTCTCTGTGCCACATTTTGATAATTCACATCAATAGCATAGTGCTACTGCATACATAATAATATAATAATAAAACAAACTCACTGCTGTCAAGTCAATTCCAACTCAGAGCGACCCCTCCTTGGGTTTCTGAGGCAGTATCTCTATGGAAGTAGATTGCCCAGTCTTCCTTCTGAGGAATGGCTGGTGAGTTTGAACTGCCAGCCTTTTGGTTAGCAGTCATATACCACCAGAGCTCCTTAATAGACTACAAAAAACAAAACAAAACAAATAGACTTCAAAAAACCAATAGACTGCAGTGTACTGTAAATAGGTATGACTGTGTATATGTATGTGTGGAATGTATGTGGTAATGAGTTGTGATTTAATTCTATAGTATTTATTTTTAAACATTGACCTCATTCACAGTGTAGTGAGATGTTTATAAAACAAGAGATACAAGAGGCTGGAGAGGAGGGAGGATAGGAACAAGATTTCATACCTACCGCCCCAGGCTCACCCTTGGGTTGGTGCCCCCTGAGATACGTCATGGAATTGCCTACATCTTTGTGATTTGTTCCATCTTTTCTTCTTCCATGTGTTCCCCTTGCCCCATCCCCACCTCCTTTTGAAGCTATTCATGTGAGTTAAATGTACACATGAGGAGACTGTGTTATGAGTTCAGCTTCCCTGGCTCATAGTACCCTCTTGTAAAACACTTCCTTTGAACCTTTTTGAGGGTTACTTTGGGGTCCCTACCTAGAGGGCATCCCAGGCCTGAAAACCAGGTCTTCTGCCACAGCTAGTGGAACCTGCTGTGAGGGCACTGATGGCCAGGCTGGTGCCACACCTTGCTGTCATCCTTGCTGTTCCTCTAGGACCCAGCTGTGCTGCCCCTCCACCTCTGCGTTGCTCCTTGTCCTCTGCTGGTGTTTCAGTTTCTCATGGGTCTCATAAGTAGCATCTGAACTTTGGAAAAGTAACGTGCATATAGATAAATGTTTTGTGTGTGGCCTAATAGCAGAAAGCAGAACTATTTATTTCTCCCTTCCTCCCTCTTCTCACCCCCCTCTCATTATATCCCACTCCCATCCTAATAGATCCTTTACCAGGTGACTCCTGGCCACATAGAATTTTAGAATTATACAACTGAGAATCATTTTGGGATTCTAGTTGGCCCGGGTAACTGGGGGTCATCCATATTGAAATGTACGCTTCAAATGTCCATTTCCCATCTGTTTTAAATAAGTCATTGGCAGGTATACCTGATCTTCTTACAGGAAGGCTTCCCAGAGAAGGGGCAGAACTTGTCGGAATCGGATGCCCAGCATTGTCTTAGGGTTTCAGTAGGTCAGATATTGATTTGATTATTATTATCATTATTATTTTGGTAGGATTGCTTTGTATGTTGTTGAATAAATAATGAAAAGTATTGGTTACTGTGCTTCAGTCACCTGGTTAAAAAATGTTAGTGTCGTATTCTGATTCCTCCATGAAGTTCTGGAATTTCTTCTGAAAGAACTTAAATTAGGTCCAACTTAAAACTTAAAACTAGTTTCTTTGATTCAGGAAGACCCAGGACATTTGGCAGCTCTAGCTGCTATACTTTCCACAGCCACCTATGAGAAGTGTCTATCAAAAGTGGTCTCTCACAGGTATCCCCATTCACTGGGGGCCTTGGTCTTATGTCACTTCTGTGATACACATTGTACTGGAGGGCCTGATGACCCTCTGTTTTTTCTTGCCCAGTGACAGACTTTCATGCCTCAGGTTCAGATAATGCCTCCCTCAGGTGTGCTTGTCATGATGTCTTCACTTTCAGAGGACTTTGCTCATCCATGCATTCAGTGTTTCTCGAGCACGTGCTTGCCATGTGACTGTTCTGTTTTTGGGAGCTGGGGAGATAATGAATAGCCAGACAAGACAGCTCATCTGGAGGTGATATTCTAGTGGGGGTATGAACAAGAAAAGTGAGCAAATAAATTTCAGCTACTGATCAATGCCAAACAGAAAATAAAACAGGTGATTTGTTTATTTAAACTTCTTTATGTCAGGCCCTGATCTAGGTATCTTATAGATCTTAGCCCCTCTAGTTTAGTCTTCCTCACAATCCTAGAAAGTAGTTATTGTTTGCATATCAGGAAATGAATAAGATAAACTTGATCAAGTCTCACAGTTCCTAAGTATAGAGCCCAGAGTGTGAGCCTGTGCTCCCTGTGGGGACTCCCCCATCGCAGGGCAGGAACGATACGGGGTGGGTCATCCTCGCATCAGGCAGTCAAAGAAGGCTCAAGATGATAGTCAACACTTTCAGTTGTTTTTGATATTGGGGCCTAAGAAGTGGCTTTCCACAGAGACCATTGATCTATTTAGTTTTGGGATTTTTGTTACACCAGCGGTGATAGGTGATCTTTGTTTTATGTTTCCTTTCCTACACCGATGAACCGTTTCTCCTTCAAAGTGTCTACAACCCCCGCTTTATTTTTACTCTATTGTAAACTTCTTTTAAAAATTCTTGGTCTCTCAGTGTCTTAGTGATCTAAGAGTTTTACTTATGCCTCACTTAAAACTTTCTTGTATATATCTCTTGCATTTTCCTGGCATAAGATTTTTTTTTTTCTCAGTTGCCACTTTCTTTCTGGACTTTCTTCTTCCTTGTTGTTTCCTAAATATCCATAGCTACCTGTCAGAAGTGTTTATTGATTTGCATTTGATAGAATTTTACTTACTTTGTTTCTGAGAATATACACAGTGAAACATACACCATTTCAACTGTATTTTTTAAAAAAATTTTATTGTGATTTGGGTGAAAGTTTACAGAGCACATTCACTTTCCATATAGCAGCTCACATATACTTTGTCTCCTGTCATTGACTGTAATTTCCCACAATGCAACAGCTCCCCTCCCACTTCCTCTTCATAGTTACCTCTTCCCTGTGTCCTTCCCTCCCATGTACTCCTGCTCCCTGAGCTGTCTCCCTGTGCATATACAGCCCTTCTATTCTCCCATGATTGATCTCTCCAAGGACTGGATCTACCTAATGTAAATGTTCAGCTCATATTCCTGTTTTTTGTTTGGCTAGAAGCCTCAGGAGTGGGTTCAGTTCTAGACCTGAAGGGAAGCTAGGGGAAATGGTCTCATTGGTTTTACCAGACCAGCAAATCTGCCCCCCTTTTTTTAAATGATTTTGAGTTTTGTTCCACATTGCTCTCCCATTCTATCCAGGATCTCCTATATAGATCCCCCTCTGAGTGGTTGACTTATGCAGCCGGGCACCATCTAGTTCTTCTGGTCTTATAGTCGTTTAGGCTGGTAATCGCATGGTGTACCAGTCACTTGGACTAATTGTTTCCGTGTGTCTTTGATTTTATTCATTCTTCTTTGTTCTGGATGAGGAAAGACCCATCATTGAAAGCTTGCAATCTTTTAAGTTCCCAGTTGATCTTAAAATACAGGCAGTCCTCAGGTTACAAATACAATTTGTTCCTGTGTCTAAGAATTTGTAAGTAAGTCAGACCCATGCACGCAGTTTTTCTTTAGCTCTGTTGTAGTGCAAGAAAAGGCTTAAAGCTTTTTCAATGATTTAAAAGCTCCACAAATGAAGAAGGTGATTGTGGTGAAGAATTTGCTGAGAGCAGGAATTGATTCAATAGTTTCAGAGTGAGGGCAAATTAATGTAACATTAAAGGACAAGTAGAAGTTGTCAGTAAGCCTGACATTTGTAACCTGGAAACTGCCTGGTAAGACCAATTGTTGTACCTTGGATGGCTGCTTGCAAACTTCTGAGACCCTTGGCACTACAAAACAAATT